AGGTTTACTATCAGAGTCAATTTAATAGCGGATGTCAAGTTAGGTTTATATCAGAGTCAATTTAATAGCGGATGCAAGTTAGGTTTATATCAGAGCAATTTAATAGCGGATGCAAGTTAGGTTTATATCAGAGCAATTTAATAGCGGATGCAAGTTAGGTTTATATCAGAGCAATTTAATAGCGGATGCAAGTTAGGTTTATATCAGAGCAATTTAATAGCGGATGCAAGTTAGGTTTATATCAGAGCAATTTAATAGCGGATGCAAGTTAGGTTTATATCAGAGCAATTTAATAGCGGATGCAAGTTAGGTTTATATCAGAGCATTTGATGAAAATTCATGAATTTCATTTACATACTACTTTATGATTACTAAGAAAACCACATTTTAAAAATTATTAAGTTAAATTAAATTATAAACAAAAATCATACGATTCACTCGAGAAAGTCTTAAGTTTCAAAATCTCCCACAGAAACAGATCAACACACTTTACCCATTCCTATTCAGCATATTAAGCCTATTCATAAATAAACCTCTGACCTGTATTGATTAATCCTTGCAATATCCGGTACACTAACGGTCATTTTATTGAAATCCTAACTATCGTATTTTGAAAGAGTGATAAAGAAGGTTAATAAAAGTAATTTTAGCTTCAGAGAGAAAAGTTTTAATGATAAACAGTAGAACGAACATTTAATATGTACGTGTACAGTAACAAACATTTAATTTTTGAACATTACAGAGTGTACATATTCCATCTTCAGCAAGCTATATTGAACAAGGTAAAATATCAGATACAAATATTTATAAGGTTCCAATATTTTGTAAAGAGTAATTAAAAGATGAAATCAATTAAATACAAACAAATAAACAATAAAGAATAGGATAATGTAATAATTGTAACAATATTATACAAGTTATTCAGAACGGACTTAATAGTTATTGCTTAAAATTGTGAACTCATGTATAACAGATAAACTTTCTTTAATTAAAAGTTCAATATTGGATGTTCCAGATGAGATGACTTTTGATATTCGTAATGAAGATTGGGTTTAGATGTGTAGTTTTAAACTCCCTGTACCAAATCTGTTCTCTCATGAATATAACTTACATTTCTCAGTTTGCTTCTCGTGTAACATTTAGTTCCCCTAATATAAATAGTATTTAACATATAATCACATGAAATTTTCTTTCTGACCATACTTTTATGTATAGATTTAGAAATGTCTCCCTTATTCGCAGTGTCCATTGTTTTAGCATGCGGTCATCTAGCGTTTTATTCATCAACTTGAACACCATTTGAACAGGAACTATTTAGGCATTGAGCTAGGCTTAAAGCTTACAACTTAATTTTACATCATATAAAACTATTAGTATTAAAACAACTTCCTATTGGTATTATTAGATAATAATAAAAAACTTTAATTAAACCTCTAGAAATTAAAAGAGATGTTTTAACTAAAAAGAAATAAGTAATTACTTTGCACAACAGTTTTCATAATCCTCAACTGGCCTCTTGTAATGAATTTGCACAACCCTAAAATCACATTGTTTTTATAATTTTTAACTGGTCTCTTGCAATGACTTTGCACAACCCTAAACTTACATTGTTTTTATACTTTTCAAATGGCCTCTTGTAATAAATTTGTACAACCGTAAAATTACATTTTTATAATTCTCAACTGGCCTCTTGTAATAAAGTTGCAAAACCCTAAAATTATATTGTTTTATAATCCTTAACTGGCCTCTTGCAATGACTTTGCACAACCCTAAAATTACATTGTTTTTATACTTCTCAAATGGCCTCTTATAATAAATTTCTATAACCGTAAAACTACATTTTCATAATCCTCAACTGGCCTTTTGTAATGAATTTGCATAACCGTAAAATTACATTGTTTTTATAATCGTCATCTGGCCTCTTGTAATTAATTTGCACAACCCTAAAATTACATTTTTATACTCCTCAACTGGCCTCTTTGTAACTGGAAACTCTCGTAGACCCAGAAAATTTGGCGTAAAAGAAATATATTTTGGAATAATTTAATAATAATTTTAGAAAATAATACTGAAATTCTCAAAAGAAAAAGTACATTTGTAAGAAAATGGAAATTTTATTGCCCATAGGATTCGAATTCACACCTGTTTAAACCGCTTACACTTTACACAAGTCTTAATTATTACCTAGCTGAAATTATTTTTTAAAAAGTAAGTTATCCTATACTTGGAGGTAATAATTAAGAGCATATGAACAATTTCGTAATCTCGTTAAATACAACAAGCACATTTCTTTCGGAATTCCCTGCTGCCTCCTGGCGTTGATATTTGAAATAATATTTTTGCTTTTCTTACTCCTTAATAACATGCAAAGACTTTCCATGGTGAGCTTGTCTAGAATATAACAAGTATTTGACGTTAGCTTATTATTCTGGTATCCGCAGTTCTCTTCTGATAATTAATCACATATTCCGCCTTTGTTACGTGTATGTTAATCTCCACTTTTATCAATGCTCTTCCTCTACTAATACTTCGAGTATATAAGGTTTTAGCTGTACATATTTTTAGTTACAAAATTAAATTTAAAGCTGATCAAGATGGGAATTATAGAAGAGTTTCGTTTTTACAATAGTCTGTAAATTCGATTTGATAAAAACAAAAATAGAATAGAGAATGTTTTCTTTATAAGTTTATCTCCTGTAAGTATTCTATCTTACTATTATATTATGTTCATTAGATAGCAAGTATCATTACAATGTAATGGTATCAATAATTCATTTAAAAATTCGGTGACTAGAACACTTTCAACTTAAGTGGATTATGTTGTTTGTTTGTAATTAAGCACAAAGCTACACAATGGGCTATCTGTGCTCTGCCCACCACGGGCATCGAAACCCGGATTCTAGCGTTGTAAGTCCGCGGACATACCGCTGTGCCATGGGGGGGGGGCGGATTATGTTGTTCTTTAAAAAATATAATATACAATGATTGCAGGCCAATTGATGAAATTTGTGTTTGTTTTTGAATTTCGCGCAAAGCTACACGAGGGCTATCTGCGCTAGCCGCCCCTAATTTAGCAGTGTAAGACCAGAGGGAAGGCAGCTAGTCATCACCACCCATCGCCACCTCTTGGGCTACTCTTTTACCAACGAATAGTGGGATTGACCGTCACATTATTATGCCCCCACGGCTGAAAGTGTTTGGTGGGACGAGGATTCGAACCCGCGACCTCAAATTGCGAGTCGAGCTCCCTAACCAACTGGTCATGCCGGGCTCAGTTGATAAAGAAACTATTATAAATGTTTATCGATTAAGTTAGATAGACAGTCAGTACAATTCTTCCACGTGTAGTTCATAAACTATTTTCAATCTTCTAAATATACAAATAAGTATGGCTCTAATATAACCAGTACGTAATACATTCACGAATCTGTTTCTGCATGCCATCACGTGTGAAGATTTGGCGTACGAATTGATGAACGAATCTATTTCTGCATGTCATCACGTGTGAAGATTTGGCGTACGAATTGATGAACGAATCTATTTCTGCATGCCATCACGTGTGAAGATTTGGCGTACGAATTGATGAACGAATCTATTTCTGCATGCCATCACGTGTGAAGATTTGGCGTACGAATTGATGAACGAATCTATTTCTGCATGCCATCACGTGTGAAGATTTGGCGTACGAATTGATGAACGAATCTATTTCTGCATGCCATCACGCGTGAAGATTTGGCGTACGTATTGATGAACGAATCTATTTCTGCATGTCATCACGCGTGAAGATTTGGCGTACGTATTGAAGAACGAATCTATTTCTGCATGTCATCACGCGTGAAGATTTGGCGTACGTATTGATGAACTTTATAGTTGCATGCATGAGTTTAATTGATTATCTTCAGACATTATATAATTTAGCTTCTGACTGGTAGATAAAGGGCGAACCGGAAGCAGCTGAGCTTTCTAAAAATATCTTCTATAAACCGGAACCCACTCTTAATCTAATTAATAATTCTGTTGAAACACCATTATTTATATTTTATTTTAACTGATATAATCATAACTTTATGAAAGATTAATAGCTACATACAAACCTGTGTTTCCGTTTTTGAGGTTTCGACTTCCGTTTGTATTATAAGGTTTACGAAACCCAGGTTTGGGAACAGGTGTAGCTTCTGCAGGTTGCACACGACCCTCTGGTCTAAAGCAAAAACAGAACTCATGCAAAGCCATGTACAAGGAAGTTGGTCACAATGATCGATTAAATACATGCAATGGTTAGACTTACACAATGTAAAGTTAGAAGAAAGTTAGGCTTCACAATAAAACATGCTGCAAGAGTAATGAGGCATTAGTTAGGCTACTTACAGTGTATTACTCCAAATTAAAATATCCAATAAAAACATATGTATTGACTCAGTTTTGTTTATATTTTTAAAACAAGGTATCTAGACCACGATGAGTTATACTTAAAATTCTTAAGATAATCAAGTTAATACTCAGAGTATTTCAATATAAATTTTAGGAAGTTAGCCAAAACACACGTGTAAATATCAAAGATTCTTTTAACGTTTCGCCACAGTAAGTTAACAAGTATTTATAGTAAATATCTAATGAGATTAGCCAATTTTTATTATTTCATTAAAAACTAACGAAAATATTATATTTAATGTGCAAGCAAAAATTAAAACATCGTAATGATAGAAGTATTAAGTATATACATATATAAATATTCAAAGTATTGTCACAATATTATAGATTAAACCTGGGTTTTAATTTAATGTTTATAAATGGATATTTCATGATGTCGAAGAATGAGTGCGTCT